CCAACATAACAAACATAACAAGAAGAAAATATCTAGCTAACCAACTTCCAACTTCTAACAGAATTGAAACTAACTCAAACTAGCTCTGTATTTCCAACACCCCCCCTCAAGTTAGAGGGTGCTTGAACCCCTAACTTGCCCAGAATCTGATGATGCAAAGGTCCTGGGAGACTCTTAGTAAACAGATCTGCAATAATGCTCTGTATTTCCAACAGTGCATTATTGCAAAGGAGATTAGAGAGGAAATCTTCATGAGGATGGGGATAAAATGTAAAGCTACTTCCCTCGAGCATATGGAGACAGAATTGGGGAACATTAAGACAAAGAGGAGGAAACTAATGACTAATGCAGGGTGGGCGGTAGTATGCTATACCATCTGGAAAAAGAGGAATGATGTTATTCACAATAAGAGCAAAGATAAAGAAGGTTACCTTAAGAATGTTCTATTTTATCTTAGAATTTTCACTTATAAAAAAGTTGGATGTTGGTAGAGCATAGTTATCAAATGTGTAAAACTTTTTGACTGGTTTGTTTGTGAATGGTAAAAATGTGCATTTTGTTCAAAAAAAAAAGTATGAAAAATTGATCCTTTTTATACCCATCTCTATTTGTTTACCACCATATTGCGTTCTTATTTTAATTGCGGAGTACAATACGTCAAGGTCAAACCAAGGAGTAATATGAAAAATCAGCACCATTTCTTTGTTTTAATTTGCGAGAAATCAAATCTAAACTCTACATTTGAGATAGGGGCAGTAAAATTAATTAATTCAAATTAGGTATCAAATTCCACCCTAGCTAAAATTAAGGCAAGAGGAAAATGCCTATGTTGTGGAAACATTTTAAAGTAGTTTCTTTGCTTTTTTTGTGAAGAGTTTTTATATTGATATGGGTGCACAATTTCGACCAAGTATAGTATACTCTATATATCTAGATGTACTCTAGAAGCATAAACTGATTTTGTAATGTGTAGATTTAGGTATGTATTAAAAAAATTGTACACGTTTTTGTTATTTAATTTTATCCTTTATGAATTAGAAGTATTATTAGCAACAAAATAAAAAATATCTTTTAACAACGAAATTAGCATTGTATCATTATTGATGTGTATACAGAGTACATCAATTTCATAATGTGCATCAAAAATAGTACATTAATGTGTAATAAAACATGGGTTTTTATTTCCAAAATACTCATACAATAATAGCACATGTACAATAAAACATTTTCGGTAATAATTCACACCTCACAAAAGACATTCATAAGGTAAATGCTCTCATTCTTTTGAATTGCATTATTTTTTACAAAGCAAAAAGAGCTTTTATACATTCAAACAACTAATAGCAAACTATTAATATGAATGTACATTGGCCAATAATACATATTCTCTGGTTGAATTACAGCCATTTCATGAATCCCTGGTGCTTAGAACAATTGAATAATATTATTGGGTGAGGTACGCTTTTGCTAAGGTGAAACACTTGTTCTTCTGTTTTTTGTATTCGTTGTAGCGCAAGTCGAAGTAACCAAGATAATCAAAATCAATTGGAGATATTTTTGCCTGCCAACGTTCAAATAACATTATATACATATTCATACATACATATATGTGTGTGTGTGTAAAAGAGGGATCCTTCTTTTGTTCACCTTCCACAAGATAATCATGGACACAGAAAGCTTTATGAATAATATATAATTACCTGGATTAGAGCCCACAGAGCCCAATACAGATGTGAGGCTAACATGTATGTGTTGGTCTCAATAAACAGAGCCTCAAGATCCTTCTCAGAAACCTGTAAAAAAAATGCTACTTAGGGACTAGGTTTCAACTCTGTTAACATATCTTGTTTTGTGTTTTGGTTTTAGTAAACAGTGTCTTTTCAAACTAGAAACATGTTTTCAGAAACAATTACCAAATGACACCTATGTAATTTGTACACCCTCCAATCCTCCATCCCAAAATGAACTTCGTGGTTTGCCTTCACAGATTTCAAGAGAAGTGTTTGAAAAATAAAAAGAGTGACTGAAATTTGTTTAGAGGTGAGGTGACTTGTGAGTCACATGTTTCATTCCTTAATTGGTACAAAGAGAAGTGTGAAGTTTATTTTAGGACGGACGAAAAAAAAGTGTGAGGCTTATTTTGGGACGATCAAAAAAAGAAAGCGTAAAGTTAAAAGGAAAGTGTGGAGTTTGTCTTGTAAGAGATATCAAAGGAAAGGGTGAAGTTTATTTTGGAACGGAGAGAGTATTATGGGAAAATGTGCAAATAGTCCGGTAGCTTTTCCTCTCAGGCCTCAAGTGCATACCATGTCATAAGGATTGTTTAGGTCCAATTATGGCCTTTACATGTGACCCAAAGTCCAAATTATTGCTTAAGGTTTGCTTTCGTCCTTAACAATTGACAAATGAATACAATACTTTGAATCCCTTTTGCGATTTACGGAGTATCATATAATTCTTCACTGTGTGTTTTTTTCCCATCACAACCCTGGTTGATGAGGCCCTCTTGGAAACAATATCTTTATTTGTCGGGGGGTAGAGGTAAGATCTGCAACGTCTTGGACACCTACACCCTACCCATGTCTGGATGTAATGGCCTTGTTTGGTTTGGTATGCACGTAGCGCACACATGGAGTTTAGGACTAAGGGATCATACTCTCAAGCGCGCACACTGACAGTCTGTCACTGTGTGTGTGTGTGAAATCTAATGCTTTGATATTGACAAATCCATTTGGGTAGCATATAGACTAAACCCCTTGTCACTGAGGTGGACTCAGAAAGAAGCAACCGGTGATGTGAAAATTTATTTATTATTGACCCAATTCGCAAAACTAAAAAGAAAAGTATGCAGAACTGCATAGTAGCAGTGGATTCAACAAGAACTAGTTCATGGAGGCAAATGGACGGGCATTGAAATGAATTGGCTAAAAATTCTGTGGGCATACCTCATTAGGTTGTTGGGCGTTTAAGTAGTGACAAAAGAAATGGATCTGTTCATTTTTAGATGGGTACCTGAAGCAGATAAAAAGATTAAATTCAATGTAAAGAGCATAATTGTATGCATCTTTCAAGACAACAAAAGGTGGGAAAGAAACATACAGATTGTAGTCACATTCATAGCCGGCATATTCATTGAAGTGATTCCCAATGTCAAAACCCCTATAGTTATAGGATCCATATTCAAAATCAATGAAATAGAGTTTCCCTGGATATTTACCATGAAGAATGAGTTTAGCATAATTGATAGAATCACATGGAGGGGATGAGAGAGAAACCTGAAAGAATATTATAGTTAATAGCTTGTCTAATCACATGATTCACAATGTACTTCACAGGGAACTTAAGTTCACTGCTAATTCTGGTCATTACGCTTAAGAATGTCTCCTAGCGAACAGAATTGACAATTTATTTTTAGATGAATGAATTAGAACAATCAAGTGAACCATAAAAATATCAATCAAGTGAGAGCAGAATATATATTGCTTCAATTGCCTCAAGGGTAACTTTTGCTTGCAGATTAGGACACTACTAAGGTCCATTTCAATATTTCTGCATTGGAATGACAATGGAGGATATGAGATCAGATATATCGCCTACACTTTTAACAAGATTACGCAATGGGCATATAACAAATGACAATCCTCAATCTCTTTTGAGAGTATAATCTGGAAAACAGGACCAAGATGCAATGGCTAGGTATGTTCGGGGTTTTATTTTTATGGAGGGGCTAGGTGTTATTGTTTATTTTTAAAGTACTCCATAGTACTTTTTAGAGTTAAGTGCACAGTTTACCCCCGAATTATTTGAAAATTGCATGGTTTACCCCCGAACATTAAAAAGTGCATCAAATACCCCTAAATTCTTCAGAAATTGCACCAAATACCCCTGAACTCTTCGAAAATTGTACTATTTACTCCTGAACATTTAAATAAAGACGATAATTTTGGGTAAAGGTACTTTGGAAAATTCACAAGAGTCAGATGAATCATATTCGCAATTCTTGTGCGTGGAAGCAACGCCCTCCCTATCTAATAGTTTAGGACCAATGATGCAACGTTTTAATTTGTTCAAAGGTATTTGATGTATTTTTTTAGTCTGCAGGGGTAAATCGTGCAATTTTCAAAGAGTTCAGGGGTAATTGGTGCACTTTTTAAAGTTCAGGGGCAAAACATGCAATTTTTAAAGAGTTTGGGGGTAAACGGTGCACTTAACTCGTACTTTTTACCATTTTATAGTAACGAATCACAGTTGATTGCTATGACATCAAACTTAAGCAAATTTAACATTTTATAACTTTTATTTTGCAAAGATATTCTTAAAATGAGGAAAACTGTTCCGGTTCCCCTCTATTCACCAAAACATTCCTCCAAAAATACTCCTTAGCCTTCCAAGGTATATCCATGTCACAATTACCTTCATTGTCATTGAGCATCAGATTCCCAGAAAGTAAATCATTATGCGCAAACACCACAGGAGCATTTAGGTGTCCTGTCAATTCCTGTTCCATGATTAATATAAGATTTAGGTATCCAACTATCCATCGAAAAATAAACATATCCTAACAGTAGTCTAGATTCAATGAACCTCAGAGTCCATGATTCCTTGTCCAAGGCAAATATAGTCCCTTCATAACGAGCTTCTTCAAATGATACCAAAATACCAACAGTACAAGGTGAACTTACTTGAATTAGACATGCTAACCAATAATAAGAAATTCGTGAAAGGTCAACTACCTTGAGCTCAGTTACGTCATGATGCACTTCTTCAAACGAAACTGTCAAATACTTCCTCTGCTTCTCACTGTCGTCAAACTGAAGAGTAGATGCTGCAAAAATAGTAGCAAAACAGGCATAAAAATATATAACAGACCTAATGAAATCCCATAAAGTGGAGTCTGTTATGGCGTGTGTATGCAGACCTTACCCATGCTTGGATAGTAGACAGACATAAAAATATATTGACAACAATATCATATAGGCTCAACAATCATTCTCATTTCATGGGCTAAAATACATAAAGTGGCATGACTTAAGAAAGTACCTTTGTTAAAGAACTTGAATACATCATTCCAAAGCTGAGGTTCCTTGGAACCGGGAATTTCCACCTGATGGAACTGATGGAGTTGTTTTGCAATTTCAGCTGCTACCTTGGGTATTCTCATGTCTGCATAATTTTCATTATTTTTTCTTGTACTCTACAGTGTTCAAATGAATCTAGTACACATTCATAAATTGTAAGTGTTGTTTTTCTCCAGTTAGTCAAGCCTTTGTTTTCAAGCGCCCTTCCCATATTTGAACTAGGGCCTAATACTTTCATAGTTTGGGATGATGAAACTTAGTTATTCTCAAATGAGATGAGATTCTGCATGAGTACATTGATTCTATATTTCAAATGGGGGATATGCTATTATTTACAACTCAATGGAAAAGAGAGATAGATCTAAGGTGGGGTGAAAAGGATCATGTATTAATATGCAATAAACCAAACAAGAAAGCAGCAGCATATGTAGATTATCTGTCCACAGCAAAATGATTCGTTGACATTATGTACCATTATGTACAGATGTTTCGAATTCTCACTGAGATATCTGGGCATCAAAGGTATTTTATGTATTTCCCTTACCTGAGGGTGCTAGGGTGCGTGCATGAATAAATGACTGGACCATGCCATTTCCAAACACTCCAAGCAACTTGGCACCGAACCCTGCAGCTGAGAGGTATTGAATCGCCTAAATGAAACATTTAATATAAGCAGTAGCTAATTAGACACAGAATCAAGGCAAAATACATCTGCAAACGGTATCATGCTTTACATATGGAGACTCTTTAGAAATGTAGCGGATAGACTGCTAGGCAAATGGCTTATTAGGATGTAAAGAGAAGGGTGTACCTAGTGCCAAAGCTCCCACAAAAATAGGAAGTATATATAACATAATTACATGTCCATTTGCTATGCTGCAGTTGGCAGGAACTATTTTCAATACATACAACAGCAAACCCAATAAAATTCCACACAAAGTAGGGTCTGCGCAGGGCGAGTGTAGGACTATTTTTGAATTTCCCTACTTGGAAATAGACATGTTGTCTCCAAAAGACTATATTTGATACATAAAATGCCAAATTCAACATTTTGAAGGTGAGTGTGATTTTGGACTTGTAGAATGGCTAAAACAGTTGTGGAATGTAAATAGAGAACTAAAGTTGCATGTTCATGGATAACAAAAATGTTTCTAAAAGAAGACCTTTAAAAAAGTGATCGGCAATGCTTTAGCCTTTAAAGAAACACAGTGGTTAGGTAATTTATATGAACTACTTCAGTACCCTAGCTGAAACATTGCTAGAAATGACTTGTGTAATGCATGCTACCCAAGTAAACAAAGGTGACTGAAACGCACCCGGAGTTCTCGTTCACGATCAATAACATACTCAGTGTCGGGGCCATATAATCTCACTGTCATACTCACTGCCTCCGAATCATCTTCTCTTACAGATACTTTCAGCACTGTGGAAGTTGAAAATTGCATGGAAGGGGGTATCCAAAAGGGGACATTCAGTCATTTGAGAATGGCTATATGATCCGCAAAAACATGCATATAAAAAGAAGATACACACACAGATTTGTGATGCCGCCAGACACGGTCTCAACAGAGAAACGAGAATCGTCAAATTCCGACCATTCTTTGAAGAGATCCTTGCAGAGTTCTCTGTAAATTTAAGAAACTATGATGACATGAGATACACATTACTAGAATAAGATACTAGAACCGAACAAACGAAGACATATAATCTGCCCTGAACTAAGCAAATTTGAGTTGCGTTACACCATTTTACTGATATAGTAGATTGGTTGAATTTATTAACATTTTCCATGAAGATCAAACTTGATGGATGGCTTCTTAAAATCAAAAACTCGCTTAAAAAACCAATGTATAACATTCCACTTTTCTCCCCTTTATAACAACAAACCCATAAAATCCCGCAAAAAGTAGGGTCTCGGAGTGTGTGTATGCAGACCTTACCCTACTTAGAGCCTTAGAGAGCCTCGGAACATGTTTCGAAGAGACCCGGGCTCAAATACGAAACCATAGACACTTTACTTCCATTTACAAAAACAGCAATTGAAGTTGGTTGTAGTATCAGATCAACCAAACACTTATGTGAAAGAGCACACAACTGCACTAATTAAGCTGACATTTTGACGGTGATTGAACGAAAACTAAATGGAGGTTCCAATATAGTTTAGCTAGCAAACAGAGCTATGAGGCAAATATATTTTTAAAAAGCCGAAATCAAAGCATTTAGCTACAAAAAAAGCTTATATCTACTTCAAAAATATGATTAATTATACTCCGTATCTAACAAGCAGATTTTACTTTTCTCAAGATCATTTCTTATCGAACGCGGATGAAATCTCCATCAACGTTATTCTAAAGCGGATTTCATATTCTAAAATCGTGTATGAACCGCATAGAGAGAGAGAGAGAGAGAGAAATTGTACACGACGCGAGGCTTCATCACGGGGATAGGAAGCGAGTGGTCGACGGTAAGACGGGACGCCGGAACACCGGGGGTCCGGCCGTCGGGAGCTCCCTCTGCCACTTCTGTGGCGTTCCAGATCTCCGCCGCTTCACCCATTTCCGGTCACTTTCTCGGATCAACAGAATCAAACGATTTGTGGATGCAGGAGATCGCGAATTTCCAAAGATGCCGCAGATTGTAAAGAAAAGCAATTTATTTCTGAGTGAACGCGAGAATCATGCTAAGTACGGTCCAAAATTGAGTTTAGACTGGGAAGAATTAGGTGGGGGCGGTTAGTAGTTAATCTTGCATTTTTTTAATATTTAATTTATCTAATTTGTAGTCAGACATAGAAGATAACGCGGTGTAATACAATTATACTAAGAATAGAGTCTCTGCATACGAACTGCAGGTTCCACTTTTATTACCAATCTGCGATCAATTAAACTTGAACGTTATGGTCTCACTTCTTACCCTAATATTAATTTAATTTTGATTGAAGCTTGAAATCTAATTTCTAATAATTAGAATTTTGTTATAGTAATAATTGATAGGGGTATGTACAACTGCATGTACAAGACAAAATAGAGGCTTTTTCTATCTCAAGAAAACATACCTCAATTTAAACGCAAATAATGCAACATCGTAGTGGCATGAAACACTAAACAACGAAACTTATAAAATTGTACGGGTTCATGATCAATATCAATACAAATCATGGGTGGCCCGGAGGGTGTGCAAAGTGGCCAACCGCACAGGGCACCTTAAAATTTAGGGCACCATATTTTTAAATTTGGTAATAATTTTAAAGTAAAAGTATTCTAAAAATATAAAATAGGGCACAAAATGTAAATTTTAGACCGGGCCAATTTTATTTTTTCAATTTTCGAGACCGGCCCTGATACAAATACAACTCAACTAATGAGTACATTATTGCTTTCATGTGGTCCACAACTTATGATCGAAGAGACGAACATCTTCATTGAAACTTAGGCTTGAGGAAAATGAAAAGCAGAATATTTGCATGCGTATAGATCAAAATGGTTAAGAGCATTTTTGTGTGCAAATATATTGTCAAAAAAATGGTCTTTTGTTTGTTATGTGCAACCTTAATTTTTGTTTTATTTAGTGACACAGAGTGTACATGAAGTCGTGCTAATGTGAAAATATAATATAAAATATGATAAATATAAGGGCCATAAAATGACATAGCGAGAATGAAGTCATGAGAATCTGAATTTTGACATTTTTTAGCGATTTAGTTGATAAGCTATGCTTGTGCATTCAGTATATTGTACTTCAACAAGGAACTCTCTAAGTTGACATTTGTATAATCATTTTATTGTACTTAACAAAGAATAGTCATTGGGATCTTGATTGAGTGGGAAAATTGTACTAACATTACATTTCATTTTTTGGACTATATATAGTTTTCCGTCTCCACTCTAACTAATATTCTCCTGATTTTTGATAAAAATATTACTATAACTAAATTCTACTACGTAATTATTAGAAATTTGTTTTCAAGCTTCAATCAAAATTAAATTAATATTATGGTAAGAAGTGAGACCATAACGTTCAAGTTTAACTAAGGTTGACTATTCGACTGGGTCTCAGAAAGCCCTCGGGGATGAGGCTCATCCTTATACATGGGAGAGCGAAAAAAAGTTACTTCCCCCGTTCCACTTGAGTTTTTCTAGACCGAGTTACGATGTTTAACCGACTTTATTTTCAATTTAATGTATTTGGTTGTAAGTGTAAAATTAAAAAATAAAAATAATATGTTAGGAACCTACATAAAAAATATATAAAAGTAGATGTGATATGATTATATTATGTTATCAATTCAAATGAATAACAAAAATAGAGAAACAAAATATAGAAAATATGACCATGTGAATAATATACATAAAGATTCAAGTGAGATGGAGGAAGCATTAACATATCATTACAACAACAACAATTAAATAATATAGGATCTCATAAAAGTAAAATTCGATAAAGGTGTGTATACGAAGACTATATCCTTCTACATAGTAGAGAGGCAGCTACTAAAATGCCATTAATATTTTATTTTATTAAGTTATTCAAAAAATCTAAATGACTTCTAATCTAGTTCTATTACTTTAGATGTGTTAGTTGGCAAGTAATTATCACAGATGTGTTGTGAGTCAAAATGATTTAACATAATTAAATTTGAAGTTTAGTCGGTTGCACTAAAGTAACATGTAAAATCTAGTACTTCGTACTACGTAATTTTTTTGAGTATTAACGTTAAAAAAAATTAGGAGTACAATATAACTTGCCAAATGACGAAGTATTGGTATGAGTTTTCCTTTTAATATAGGGGGGGGGGGATATTGGACTAAAGCCGCTAGAGTATGTCATAGCTAAAGCAAAGGTCTTCACGAGACATTAAATAATACAATAGAGGATGATTTTCAAGCATCATGATCTTATGGTGGAGATCAATAGTGAATTTGTTTTAAATGCATTCCAAGATGAAGTGTAGATTTCTTCTTATTTCATGAGTTTTGCATAGTTGTAAGATAGTGATGCGAGACTTTGAATTTTTCATATTATAAGTTTTAGAAGATCAACGAAGCAGGGGTTCAAATAGTTGCTCGAACGAATGATTCTAAATCTAATTGGCTGGAGTGGATTTATGTTCCTGCAGCACATATGTGTGAAGCGTTGTACTCTGATTTGAATTAAGGCAAATTATATGGTGGACCTATAAATCTACATATGAATAAAATAAATGTTTTTTACTGTAATTGAATTATTTAAATCACCAAATAAAATACTGAATATTAACTGACGGGGAGGAATCAAATGGAATGAAATGCAGCTCCAACAAAACGACTAACCGGCTCCTCACCCGCAACAGTCGCCGACGCAATTTAAAGAAATTACCCCTCGCCCCTCGCCGACGGCTGCTGAAGTCAGGCTCCACCGCCGCAACAATCGCCGAAGCTACGCTACTTGAGGTAGTGTTCCTGTTCTTGAACTTGCCTTCAACCTTTCACTCTTAACCTTCTCAAAATCTAAGGATTGATTGATACAGAGTGTGTTTTAATGTTGTTTTTTGTGCTTAATTCTATAAAAATTGTTGTTTTCATTATTCAGGGTTATTGTGAAGTGTTTTCTTTCATCCCCAGTTTTCTTTCCCCTATAGATCATTGAAACCTTATCAAATGTCTGTAAGTTGTTTGTTAAGTGGATCCATTGGATTTTTGTGATGTGTTCTTGAATTATTTTCTGCAAATAAAGTGTCCTGATGATATTCTATAGCAGAGAACAAACATGAAATGCAGGCATAATGGACAATGCACTTCCGATACTATTAAATGTGTTTGTCAAAAATTGCAATTAGGAAAACAAACCGAATTGGTATGCAGCTGTATATAGTGATTGGTACATGGTTGAGCAAAATTTTATTGTTTCATTCATTGTATCCATTTTATGAATTTGTGACATTATCCCATACTATCGGTGTTCTAAAAATCCCAGCCTAAACGCGCCTTGGCCTCAATTGATTCCCAACTAAAGAACGCGCAGTCACTAGACTCTAGTCCACCGTCTATGGCACGACTATCAATTTTGTACTGCTTAATATTTCCTTGCACCTTGATCTATCTCATTTATTCATGTAAGTGTGACTTAATTGCAGTGGAAAATGCTGAAACCATATCTTGCAAAGGCTGCTTTTAAAAGAAACAGTTACAATCTATTCCAGTTCATTTCACTGGTAATTATGCCCCAAACTTTTATCCTAGCTTTTGTATTGATGCAACTTCTGTAATTAATACTACATATTAGTTATATACTTATATTACTTCCGCAGAGAGGGGTGCATAGCAGGAACAAGAAAGCCGTGGAATTTATATCTAAAGGGTGGACTGCTCTGAAGGAAGTTGATAGGGTGATTGATTATTGTGAGCTAAAGGACAAACGCCTTATTCCTCTATTAAGTGTAAGTTTTAATCTGCAATCTTTTTAATATGTTTTTTTGTTGGATTCCTTAAACATATACATTTTTGTATGGTTGATCTGTGTTAGGAAGCAAAGGAGAATTTTGAATTAGCTCTGGAGGTAGACAACTCAAACACACAAGCCAGATATTGGCTGTCAAAATTGCATTTTAGGTACCATGTCCCTGGTGCTTGCAAAGCCATGTAAGATATTTATTTGGTCACTCTCTGAAAATTAAAAAATGCCCTTTCTTTTGCTTAATCTGTGTCTATCTAATTTGAATGTTTATTGGCATATAGAATTGCCTCCAGTTTTCTTACAAAGATTCATGTATACACTAGCTAAATCACACATTTTAAGAAAGTTGAGTAAATTTTTAAATCAATCGCAATTCATCTAATCTTACCGCAATGATCCTTTTTCAAGTAAATTGTTATAATTAATTTTTTTCTACACATTTTAAACAATATGTTTCTTAATCCTTATTCAAAGCTTTCAATGTACTCTTATTTAGCTCTCTATAGGGGAAACCTGAAAAAGTAATTAATGCTCCATATATTTTCTCACAGGACATATATAGAGCAATGCAAAAAATGTAAATATTGGAAAGATAAATAGGAATAGAACCAAATGCAGTATTATTTATACATTTAGCTTTCTAATTTGATGCACAACTGATGTTCTCCATTTTTTCCTTCTCATAATAGTGGTGCTGCGTTGTTAATTGAGGCTGCAGAGATGGGCGACCCAGATGCTCAGTATGAGCTAGGTCGCTGTTTGAGAGTTAAGGTAAGCTTTCTTTCTTTAGGGTATTTTTTGTTGTTTCTGATAATCTGATTATAAGGCGTGTTATTTTGTTTCTAGTCAGTTTGTTAATGAACATTAAGTTCTCTTCAAGTCTCATAGGTGGAGTTTACTCTGTGGTTTTTATGCACGGAGAATTTTGCTCTAGGGTGAAACTGTCTTGTGTAATTCTGGAGTTGGTTCTGCTCAATGCATATTAAACTTTTGACATGTTTGAGACATATCAACAATTTGACAGAATGAGGCTGTTCAATCAGATCAGCAAGCATTTTACTATTTAGACAAGGCGGCTGATCAGGTAAAATTTGAATAAGGAACCCCTACTCACTGTTACTCCATTGATCTGCGGTCTAATTCCTAACAGAGTTTTATTTCAGTTGCATCCAGGTGCACTATACCTCCTAGGTGCAGTATACCTGACTGGCGATTGTGTGAAGAAAGATATTGATTCTGCAATATGGTGTTTCCACAGAGCATCAAAAAAGGTATACCCCTTTTCAATCCCTCGTACCTTCATCATTAGGGGTGAGCATTTCACTGCACTGGTTCATTTTGGTTTAACCGAAAAAACCAAATTAGCACAAACGAAACACCAAATTAACCCGGACCAAAACCAAACCATATGTAATGTGGTTTTAGCTTGGTTTATGTTTATTTCCAAGCCTGATTATTCTGAAGCAAATGAAACTCAACAAAATCAAATCGGAAAAAACGTAATATAACCCCAACAAAAAGTAGGGTGGGGCACCTTCCGTGATACTACCGCAACCTATCACGGACCATGCATATTGAAACAATACGGTATCAGTACGGGATGGACTTCAAAACCATTCGGTACCATTCCATTTTGATATGAAACGGTACAATACCGTACCATGCCAAAACCATATCAAAAACAACCCCACTAGTTAGACTCCATTTGGCATGATTTTGGCATGGTACAATATTGTATCGTTTCATTTCAAAATGGTACCGAATGGTATTGGAGTTCATCTCGTACTGATACCGAATTGTTTCAATAAGCGCAGCCCATGATAGGTTCCGGTAGTATCACGGATCATAACAGACATGTTGCTACCCCTAATTTTGTCTGAACCCAACAGCCAAAATGCCCAGCCTTTATCATCATCATATCAGCACCTTAATTCGAACCAGCTAGGGTCCCTGACATGAAATTTATAGTGATTGTTTAAAACTAGTTAACACTAAATTGATGCATAAAACATGAATGTGTGACTGTGTGAGTTATAGCAACTAATACTTTTAAATCCTTTAAAGGGACATGCTGGAGCTGCTATAGCATATGGATCCCTTCTTCTGCAAGGTACAAAGTTTTCCCTGCTACCACTGGAGCTACAAAAGTGCCTTTCTTAACCTTTCCAAAATTTTAATGTTTAGTCGCACAGTACTAATTAGTTTATGGGATTAATGCAGAAAAAATAGTTCTTTTACAACAACAGCAGCTACAAAAAATAGAACTTTTAAATATATAAAAATGTTGGGAGGGCGGGGGCTTCAATTTTCCCTCTGTTCATCTCCCCCACCAATCCCCTCTCCAACCACACTTGTGTACTTTGTATAACCTTTCCCATCCATCAAACCAAACAAGGTAAGATCAAAACCCTCCTCCCTTCCCTTGAGCTAAACACACTTTTAGAGATGGGTAATATTTGTACTTAACTACTTCATGTGTGCATCTTTTGTACTCATTCCTTTTGTCAATGTTATCTCCCTGCCATGGAATAATCTGTTTCAGGGGCCAAAGTACCAGAGTCAATAACCAAGTTTTATACGAAGAGACCTTGGAAGAGAACATCAAGAAGACGGGAAGGAGAGCCCGAGCTAAACCCGGTTGAACTGGCTAGAGAACAGTTTGGTATAGCTGCAAATGGGGGGTGTGATCTTGGATTGAGATGGTTGAAAAGGCTGGAGGAGGAAGAGAAGCTTTTGCTGTCTAAGGGCGCATAGCCCCCCCNCCCCCCCCCCCCCCCCCCCGCATCCACCCATTCATTCATCTACAGAGAGATATACATTATATATTCACATATAAAAAGAGTAAATTCCACAAATGGTCCTCTATAATTAAAAATATTCAACATTTAGACCACTATTCTATGAAGTTCTTTCCTATGTCCTCATTGATTGTGAAAAATTTCGTGTTTTAGCCCTCTATATAATTAAATATCAACTAACGTCCTTAAAATTTTGGAACATTGCTACTTTTAGCCATTTGTTAGTGCATCTCTTTGAAGGTCTTTGGTAGAAAGAAGACTAAATTTGACAATGCTCACCATTAAAGTAGACTTCCAATATAAATTCATGAAGTAGTAGATGAAATGTGGAATATCTCCAAATATAGAGGATTATTTGTGAAATTTATTTCAAATAAAAATGATGGAATCCAATAATATTGTTTTCGTTCACATGTTCATGTAAGTGTCTTGTCTCGGCGCCTCCATTGTCTTAAACATGGGGCAACTTATGAATTTAGTTCGACTTTCTATATACCAAACTATTCCTCAATGACATACGTAGATTTCCTTCCTTTCATTACATGTTTTCAATGACTATTTGGGGCCTGTTTGAGAATAGCGTTAAAAATTAGTGTTAGCGTTTTGAAAAGGCAATCTACGGCCAGTGTTTAGCGTTAGCGTTTTCAAAGTAATTTGCACTGTTAAAATTTTATCCAAAATGCTAACGCTATTCCCAAACATGCCCTTGATAAAAGAAATTAGTCTAGCCGTCTCTTACGTTGTACACCCTTCGTCCCGCTATTTTTAGCAATGACATTAAGTTTACAGTTAACATTTTAAAAAAGTTATCTAACGATAACATTTAATCGGTAGAGTTTTCAAAGTTAATCAACGTCATTAAAATTTTATCCAAGACACTAGCACTAATAAAAATGTTGTTCCAAATAAAGCCATCCATTTTGTATCTTTTTTATCCATCATATTATTTTTGTCACCTACCATATCGCAATTGTGTGATTCACGTTCATTTTTACTTAACAGGGGTAATTTTTTTACTTTTTTGGAAAAACTAAAAGGTGTAAATCTTTTTTACTCCGTAAAGCATTACAAAACGAAAATTGAATTAATGAAAGTTACTCCTTCCGTTCAAGAAAACAAAATTCTTATTTTTTTAGGATGTCTCAAAAAACTTCTTTTTTTGGAAAAAAAATTGTACCTTTCATAATCTCTTTCTCTTCTACATCATTTTTAATACCGGAGTAATATAATTTGACTTTTCTTGAATTTTACCTCAAATCAAACTAATTTTTTTAGGGAACAAAGAATGGAAAAGAGAAAACAAGTTGGGGCCTAGGGGAGTGGGGGTAACTTTATAAGGCCATTGGACCTAAGAAGTTTCCCAAATTAGCATTCTAGGGTTTACAAGCGGTTCCTCCTTCCCCGCAGCCCCATTCTTTCATCACCCCAAGTGTACAACTACCACTGATTTATTGCTCGAGTCTCGCGTTCTCGCAGAATCGGAAAAGTGCCGGATTCCAATCGGCGTCAGGGTTAGGGTTCGTTGGAAGGAATTTTATATTCAGGGATGGAGGAGATTACGGAGGGAATAAAAAACGTCAGCGTCACCGGCGGGGACGTTCAGAAGAAGAATCGCATTCAAGTCTCCAACACCAAGAAGCCCATCTTCTTTTATGTTAATCTTGCCAAGGTTTAGTCTTGATTTCTCATATTTAATTAGGTTATTTCTATCTTTATGATTTTTTGTGTGCATGTGATGTATTTCTATGTATATCTCCCTTCTCCCTGCAGTATTTCTTCTTCTTTTTTTAGTCAAACTGGTTGAATCTTAATCAAATTGAGTTGCATATTAATACAATGGAACAATATTTCTAATAAAACTAATTGTGTTCTTATATGTAATGTTATTTTTATTAACATTTTTGTGCAAAATCCAACTGCTAGCATAAAGTAAAATATCCTAAATCAAGTGCTCACGACTGTTGGGTTGACTTGAACCCGATGACATTGGGTCAAACATGCATTTTCTAACCCGAACAAAGGTGTTGAGCATAAATAGGGAGTACTATTTATGTTGTTGAATTTGTCCAAGTCAAAATGAAAATAGTCATGTTATAAAGATAACGTTGCAATACCTAAGAACCTCAAGGTCCCCAACGTCACCGTGCTTTATTTTGAAGGTAATATCATATTACTTGGAACTTTGAAATCTCACTTTTTGGACAAGATGATTCCTTACTTATCACGTATCGGTGTTAGGCCTCATCTGACACCCAGCCATGGTCAACATTTCTGCATGGATGTGTGTAATTGTCATTATGAAATGTTTTAAATATGTGTGTTTTCTGCAGAGGTATATGCAGCAGCACAATGAGGTTGAGCTCTCTGGTCTTGGAATGGGTATGTCTTCATATCATTGGCAGCTTATTAAATGTTGGTTACTTTTAACAGATAAAAGACATTTTTGGGTTGCATACGGCATCTTATGGGCTGTCATTAGTGAAGTTTAGACACTGTTACACCTTAATGTGTTCCCGAGTTAATTTGTGCTTAACTTTTAGTTTGCTAATACATCAGTGATGTTATTACATAAATAACATATGTACATCATTAGAGTAGTTGGGTAGACATATGAGCCATAGTTTGTAGTTTATGCGGGTGTGTTTGTATGCCTTAGAATCATTGGGTAGACCTGTGGTCTGAGTTTGAAGTTTTTGTTGGTGTGTTTTTATTTTATGCGTTAGTTTGTAGCTTGTGCTTGGGTGTGTTTTATGCTTTGTGTTTAGTTGCTAGATTTGGTTAGCAGGCTTCATATGTCTATGCGCCTCATACTTAATTCAGGACACTGATTTCTTTGCATGTATTTCTGTATTTGAGTAGGGGGTCTATCTCTTAGAAACAGCCTCTCTACTTCCTAGGGCAAGGCCTTCTTACACATTCCCTCCCCTGAACATACTTGTGGGATTGTACTGGGTTATTTTTTGTTGTTACCTTATAAGCACTGGCTGGTTTCAGTACAATTTCTTGTTGCCTTTTACCACATAAGTGACTGGAAAGGGAGGGGCAAGTGGCAACACATAGTGGTAAACCAAATCTGTAAAAAATGAAAGTTAGGGACCAAAAGTGAGAATGACCCAATGGTTGTTGGACTAGAAGTAGAAATTTTTCATGTTCTTAAAATCCCCATGATAAGTTCCTAAGACACCCTTAACCTTACAGTTCACCACACCTGGCCCCTACGCTCCCACTGCTCAAATGATGTGGATTGTTAATCAGCTGTTGAGCTAAGTGTTGATTGTCATGCAATTTGGATTCAGTCAGTCTTTTGTTTTATTTTAAAAAAATGTGATGGATTAACACGTTATATGCCACTTTACTCATTTCGTATACGACAAGAGATTGAATAAAATCTCATAATAAGTAGGGTCTGGTGTGTGTATGAAAATGTTTCCCTACTTGGTAGTAGAGAGGTTGTTTACAAGAGACCCCTGACTCAAACATAGAAGCACATGCAAAGTAACCGCAGTAGCTGTGTAGCACTCATTTTGTATGCCACTTTACTCATTTGAGTCATTTCTTAAGTTAGACAAATTATCTATGTTGGGTTATTGATGAAATCCTGTTTATATCACAGCGATTTCCACTGTAGTCTCAATAAGTGAAATTCTGAAGAACGATGGATTGGCTTTGGAGAAGAGTAAGAACTTTGGACTTACTTTGTGCTCTATAAATGACTAAATGTTAAAAAAATCTTTACCAAAAAAAGGAGAAGTAATTTTTTTATTGTTTGTTAGTTAGTCAGTTTGGGGTTTCCTAAAATATGGAATAAAATAATTGCTGTATTGCAGAGATCACGACATCGACGGTTGATGTTCGAGATGATTCCAGAGGGCGCCCAATCACAAAAGCCAAAGTAAGTTAATATTCCCTGTGACTTGAAATAAACTTCATGGATTGACCTGAGGGAGTTTTTAAAAAAAATTGAAAAGTAAAGTGTATTGCTGTAATTTGTTGAGAGCCAAGAGAATGATTGTAAGCCACATATTTTTACCTTGGTCCCTACAAAATGTCAAATTTTAACTTTTTTGTTTCATAGTACTTGTCAAATCCACTTTTGAAATTCTCCATATCAATATCTGTTGCATCCTTGAAAGTGTGAATTGTGTGTTCCAACAAATAGTAGTCAATGTAAAAATTGATGATGATTACCAATGGTATAGGTGATGTCTCCAAATTTTCGTATGCTATCAATACTTAACATTCTTTAGGGACAGAGGTAGAGGAAAAATAGAGAAGTGATATGTTTTTAATTTTTTTGGGGCGGATGAAAAATGAATCTTTTAGTAGAATCTGCTTACTCTAATGCTAACCATTTTTTTATTTAAATTTTTGGTGTAGATTGAAATTGTTCTCGGGAAGAGTGATAAATTTGATGAGATAATTGCAGCAGCTGCTGCTGCAAAGGACCAACAAGTTGGCGGTGAAGAACAAAGCTAAATTCTCTAGTAGTAATTAATTAATGTTTTTGCTTGTTGTCATCTTCTTCCTCCTTTGTCTATCTCTTGCATTAAATTTCCTTCGTGCACCATGTAGGTTTTCCAACCCTTCAAAAAGAAAAAAAATGCTGGGATAAGACAAGTTTCATTCATCAAATATTTATGTAATCAAACAAAGTTTTAGAATCATAATACTTTTATCGGTTCGAAGTTAACTTTCTTGATAATAGTTGGCAGCTGCCTCGAGTGTCATAATATGACACTTGGGCAATTTGATCTGTTCTAAATAGCATTTTATGAAATCAGTAGCAAGCAAGGAGCCTTTGGGGCTTGATCCTCTTGTAGCTCACCTCTATTATGAAGGGTGTGCAGCTCGCTCTGCGGGGCCCACCCCGTATTCGGAGATTCACTGTTGATCGTGTCTCTCGTGTGGGGGTTCTCGTGTTGACAATTGCAACCTCTAACATGCTTCCACTCGCCCGCATTGTCGAAATATATGCTTATTCCATCTTGGAAACACTTATTGCAATTTACTTCAGTTTGAAATAATTTACAAAGTCAGATGCAAATTGTTACTACCTCCGTCCCATTTTATAATGCCTGTTTGGTTTACGATGTTTGACTGAAATTATTTTCAAACTATTTTATATGACAAATGCTATAGAATTAAAAAATAAAAATTACATATTAAAAAACTACATCAAAAGATCTACAAAATTAGTAGTGACAATAATATTTTATTTTATCAAATTGCTAACAAAAATAGAGAAAGAAAGTGAGTGAAGTTAAACAGGCATTATAATTTGGGACGAAGGGAGTACTTCTTATTCATGCCCTCCTATGTGTCACTTATTATTGCACATTTGTTTAAGCTATTGGTTCTAAAAGCTCTTCCTATCTCATTGGTTGTGAGAAAGCCATCCTTAAATTGGAGCAAAGCAGCGATTTGATGAGTGTATGAGTGTGAGTATTAAGAAGAATAACATTTCTTCTGTCCCAGATTAAATTGTTTCTTTTTTATTTAAATGGTCAAATTTTATTCAGTTTTGTTTCTTATTTTTATTAGTTATTTGATACTCCGTAAAATAATACAGTCATATTATTTCACTAGTTTTGTAGATTGTTTGATATAGTTTTGTAATATATAAATTTTATTTTTTAATTGTACTTTTTCATATAAAATGATTTAAAAACTATTTTAGTCAAACATCATAAAGCAAAACAGATGAGTTTAACCAAAGGAGATGTGAAGAATGAGAGAGCTCTAAGTGCTAACCAAATGAGATGTTTAAGTACTGAGAACAAGAAAAGCATGACATTGAATGAAAGACTCCATCCCCACACTATTTTTTTTTTTTGGGGGGGGGGGGGCATCCCCACACTAAATTTAGTTGTATTACTTGTGTGTGTGCACGCGCGTGTCAAAGGCCATTTTTAGCGAAGAGCAAAAAAATGGGACATACGACAGAATTACTTAGGCTATACAATGTCTATTCGATCTCGAAAATTGAAAGAGATAAGAAAAGAAAATATTAATGGAAAATAATTTTTATTACATTTGGTTATAAGGGAAAAGAAAAATAAAAGAAAAGTGTGAATAAAACAAAATAAGAAAGCAAAATGTAGTAGGGAGAGGAAAAACGAAATTTCTCTCATTTTGGTGAGGGAATGAAAAAAACATTTTCCTTGGGAACTCCATGAACCCATGGTGTAGGGGTTTGATGGACATGACCTGCTTCGGAACCCAACAAAGCCTTGCAGGACCCCATTTTCATAATATGACACCTAAAATCAATGTCAAAAGAAATGTTGTGATAGTTGTAAAAAAATAAAACTATGAATAATATTCATCAAGGAAAGAACAAAAGCAATATGAAGTACACTATATACTTCTTTTCTTGTTCTATTCATTTGCAATCTGGACAATCTTCTTTCCAACGTTATCCCCACGAAAAAGTGCGACGAAAGCCGATGGAATGCTCTCGACGCCATGGGAGATGTCCTCGACCACTTCAATCTTTCGAGCTTCGAGTAGCTCCCTAGTCTTCGAGTAGAATTCCGCATGGGATTTCATGAAATCAGCAGCAAGGAACCCTTGGAGCTTGATCCTCTTGTAGATCACGTCAATCATGTCGAGTGCGGCCCGCCCTGTGGGGCCCGCCGCATATTCGGAGATGGCACCGCAGACCGCGACTCTTCCGTGCGGGTTCATGTTGGAAATCGCAGCTTCGAGCATGCGTCCGCCCACATTGTCAAAATATATGTCGATTCCGCCTGGGAAACACCTGGTGAAACAATTGTGTTTTTGAGGAAAAGGTTATTTTTGCTTGGGATGGTTAGAGTCTGTAATTGTGGTTAGAATGATAAATACTCTTTTTGTCTGGTGTCTTTCTTCTTAATTAACATTTCAAGTCTCCAATAGAGCACCGATATATTACTAATGTTCTTTTGACACCGTCCATTTAAGGGTACTACCATGCTCTGTTCGACCCCGAAGGGACTGCCCCCTAGCCTGGAGGGTTAGTGGCAAGGAACCATTTTGGGGTCAAACTAAACATCGTAGGGCCCTTAAATGGCGTGAATGTCGTGTTGTGGCACCCATGATGGGTGTCAAAGGAACCCCAGTCTTGAAATAGAAGTTAGAAACTCTAAAATGAGGGTGTGGGTGGAAGAATTGAAAAATGAGAACAAGAGTGGACCTTTTAAGAGCCGAATTGAGATCAGGTTCCTCTTTGTAGTTGAAGGCATCATCAAAACCAAGCCTCTCTCTAAGCATCTTCACCTGCAATATGTGTAACACTCAATAGTTGCCTTCCGGCTTAATTAAGAATGTATGTCATCAGTGACAGTATTTTAGTTTCGGGCATCTAATGGACTAAGGCAGCGTCCGTTCAACTTATTTTTCTACTTATTACTTATTCTTATTATAATTAGACCAAGACAGACCAGAAACAACTTTAATTATAACTGTAATTAGATCAGATCAGATCAGGCGAACGGAAAGCGGCCTAAATAAAAAAAAAGGCACATTAAAGTTTCCATGCTTCATACTCTCTGAAGTTTTGGACAATAATTGCAGCAATGCATCTAGGGTCTAACACAAACAGTCTCTCTAGGGTCTCACCAGTATTTCTCCCACATTGGAAAACTAATCCAGACCATGGCCCGAGCAGTCTTCACAATTGGTAAGCATTTGGAAGGGAACTCCTTGGCTTCAAGCCCTTGTCATGTTGTGAGTTCCATAGATATCCTTAGCAATTGCTGAACCAGGGAGTTGAATTCACGACCATCTCTTGGCATTCACAACTCTTTACTATTCTATAGGTATGCATTGCAAGTTTGCACTCATTGCCAATGGACCTAAAAGAGTCATTATTGATAATGTTCTAGCTTGAGGTTCTTGGAAACGTCTCTACTGCCACGTAGGAGTGAGGTATGTGTACACTCACCCTCCCCGGACCCTACTTTTTGGGAAACTTCACTAGGTTCGTTATTGCAGTTGATGTTTTAGCTTGAAGTGAATGATTGACGAAACCAAAATGTAACAAAAAAACATCTTCTCTGTTTTTGTATATGAATGAAATTGCTTACATTTTAACTTCTAAGACCTTAACTAACTTGGGATTATACTAGGATATTGCGATTGAGTCCCAAGTTTAGAGTGTCATTAAATACTCCATAGTACTCCGTATATATTTTATTATTGAATCAAATTTATCATGAAGGCCAAAGAGACTAAAACTGATTTTTTATGTAATTATTAATTCATTTATATTCATCTTCAACTCTTCAAGTAAGACAAAATAGGTGTTTAATAGTCAGAAGGTTGACCTTTTGCCGGGAGCCAGCAGAGCCAACAACATAACATCCAAATAGCTTTGCATATTGTCCCACTAAATTCCCAACTGATCCTGCAGCAGCAGACACAAAAACCTTCTCCCCGTTCTGAGGTTTACAAACGTCAAAAAATCCACCATATGCGGTAAGCCCACTAAAACCTGTACTTGAGTTTAACAAATGGAAACAATTAGAGAAAGGTTTCTCCAAATCTATAGATATTTCCTGCTTTAAGATGACCTTTTTTATGTATTCGGTATAAATGCTTTTGTTTGAATGATCATATTTGCATATTTGCAAGAAGAATCTAATGAAATCATTATTGTATTAATACGCAAAGCAATTTTCATTTTAGTTGATGATTAAAGCTCATTTAGCTTAACTGAGAGAATTCAATTTGAACGAATACATTGGGACAGAGGGAGTATACATCTTAAATTTTGTTTCATACTTGATTTCATGCAGTTTATCATGGGAATATGGGAAAAATAAACATAAGGCATTAAAGCAAGTTTTACCCAAAATTCCAACGTAGTAGGACAGTGGAAAGCTTGTGGGATCCAACTTATTCAACAAAGTGCCTTCTTTAACTACACTGTATTCTCCCCAACTAAGAAGCCCAGCAACCAAGCCATCCTTTTCTATATCATCCCTCCCAGATACCAAAACTTTCCCCACTCCATATGCATCAATGCTCTGTAAAATGAGTGGAAAAAATCAAATCGTATATATGACAAAATAATATATTGGGAGATCACCCAGTCATACCTACAATTCAGCATACTAGCCTAGTGAGGTTCAACCCCAAAATGAATTGGAAAATGGAGTAAGCTATTAGACTTGTCTATCAGTTCTTCTTGACTTATCTCAACATCCCCTCAAGTGCAACTAGGATCCTATTGCCTAAAGTTGTCCCTTGTTCAAACAGACCTGGGCTTCTTTTCTGAGTTCCTAAAGCTTAGCTCTGCTACCATGTAGAATTGTGAGATTTCTTCCCAAGACTAATTGGGAATGAGAGGAGCCACAGTTAAGCACAGACTGTGATAATGCCCCAACTGGATTTCGAACCGACTTCCCATTTGGGGGAGCCACAGTTAAGAAAACCTCAACATATTAATGGGTGATTTGCTTCTCATTTCACAAATCCATCAATACCATCAAATGATCACATACCAAAAGCAAAAGAAGAAGAATCGGAACTTACCTCACCGGGAACAATGGCGGCGGAGAAATCATTGCCCGCCCGCTGCGAGGAACTTCGCGACTTCATCCGGTTCAGTTGGTACGGGTCAATCGACACATACAAGTTCTTCACAACGACATCTTTCGAACCCGCCGGTTCAATTGAAAGAGAGATGTTTTCGATCTCAAATCCGAAGTCGGATTCCTCTGGTGCGGCATCTATGCTACTCCTTATTGACACATACCTGTTTCTCACTGCCATTTGTGTAGCAGATTGGATTTTTATGCTGCGATTGAGCTTGTTGCAGAGGATGTCATGGAGGAATGACAGAAGATGCAGTGCATATGGATAGGATTCGGGCTCGAATGGTTGAAGGATAATGCTTACCCCAAGTTTTTGAGTTTTTGGCTTTTTGCATGTAAAACTAATTTTTAATTTTTGTAAATGCACTAATACTTTATATTCGTATGAATTTTTGTTAACACACCAATATTGTGTCAGTGTAAATCATCAAAATATTTGTATATAACTACAGTATACAAATGTGGTATAATTTTTGATGTAAATGTAGTATGATACATGGTTGAATAATGAGTCACAAATTCAGTTACAAAATAAAAATAATGATATTTGTGCACCTCACTCTCACTAAAAGGAGTGTATTCAATATGGAATTTGATGGATTGTTTTGGATTTTAAAAGTCAACAAGTATTCAACTGAGATTTTAAAAAATCATTTAAAATCTACATGAATTTGATTTAGATTTTAAAGAATCTTTCTAAATCTAATACTACCTCCGTCCCAGAGTATTTGTCCACTTTCATTTTTACACACCATCCAATAAACTTCTTTAATCCATTTTATCTTGTAATTTGTATATTAAAAAATTATAGAAATTATATATTAATAATCTATATGTTAAGACAAATCAAACAAGATTACACATGACTATATTTACGCTTACACACTGAGAGATTTTGATGAGTCAAAGTCCTTAGATGAACCGTTCTAAAAGTCAAAACTAGACAAAGAGAGTGGGACGGAGGGAGTATATATTAATAATCTACGGAGTATATGGTAAGACAAATCAAACAAGATCACACATGACCATATTTATGCTTACACATTGAGAGAATTGAATGAGTCAAAGTGCTTAGATGAACAGTTTCAAAAGTCAAAACTGGACAAACACTCCGGGACGGAAAGAGTAGTATTAAAAAATTGATAGGTTATCTTATAAAACATGGATTTTGAGAGATTGTTGGGTGGGAGTATAAATAAAAAGGATTATGCTATGTGTACCCCAAGATTTGTACCCCAATTTGAACCCCGCAGTTTTGCACCAACATTTTGTGTTGGTGTAATGATACATAAATACTCCAAAATTTAACAAATGAATCCCAAAACTTCTACTAAATTTATTCATGGATATTTGTCCATTTTTGGCTTTTTTTGGTCAAAATTGGTAAGCTTTAACCATAATTAAAAGAGTATTAGATATTGACACAAAAATAGTGTTATTAAATTTATTTTATAATCTATTTCAAATAATTATGTTATCTTATTAATATTTCATTTATAGATTATTTAACTTTAGGCGAAAGGTTTCAGAGCTAGACAAATACTCATAGATGGAAGTTGTACATATTCACATTGTTATCTAGCCGCTGCAATTGAACTAAATTCGTGATATTTAAAATGTTTATTAGGCAATTAATAAGTATGAGTTGGCAACTGAAAAAGCATGAAATATTGTATTTAAAATTACTTTATTCACAAATGATTATATAAAAAAGTTACACGGTTCAAAACTATATTAATAGGTCAACAAAATAAGATATGACAAAATTAGTTTATCTTATCAAATGGTTAATGAAAATATACAAACAAATATTTCTTCCGTCCCAGTATATTTGTTCACTTTGACTCTTAATGTATATCCGGGACCAATTCAACCAAAAAGCTTAAGCTTGTGTGTGTGTATATATATATACACACACACACACACACTAATACACCTTCTCACGTGTCGGCATAATGATTTTGAACATTGCATGAGAAATTTTAATTTTATAAAAACGGGGTAGTGTTGAGTTTGGAACTAATGACCTCTTGGTCATTAAGGTTTTGATAACATATCATTAAATCTATTTCACTAAAAAAAGCTCAAGTTTGTAGTTGTGGTCTAAGGGATTGATTTTATACACTCTAACAATATACACAAAAAAATATTTTTTCTTTAATTTATTTTGGCAAGAACTTTCTTTATTTTACTTTTTTTGTACTGATATACAATATCAATTGAGAGTAATTAAAATCAAAATTAATTTTCAGAAAAACTCAAATTGGATAAGTTATTAAAAAGTGGACGGGGGAGTAACTTTTTAAGAGGTAAAAAAAGAAGCAACTTAACATTAAGTGGAGAGAGGAACATTATTATGCAATTTCACAAAAAAATGAATGATATGGAATGCTTTATTATTAACGTTCACTTTAGATTTGTTTGATATTTGAAATTGGCTATTTATGGCTGGAAAGGCCAAAAAAAGTGAAGGCTCCAAAAAAATCATTCTAAAATTCGTTTTTTTAAAATCATTCCTCTTTCATTATCTTTTGTTTTTCTTAAAACACATCCTTTTTTTATTAAAAAATACCTTTTTCGTCCACTATTTTATACCCTACCTATCACATCATACTTTTTTTACTAAAAACTAAACTATCACATCTTACTTTTACCCATCGCATTAAGGCAAAATTGGAAAGTCAACTGCAATTTAACACTTCCTTATTTTCTCCTAAAGTCAAAAGAGGAACTCTTTTGAGAAACGGAAGGAGTAGTTTTTTAAGAATTAGCCATTTTGCCTTACCCAAAGTAGATGAATAGTTACTTGGCGTAAACATTGAAAATTAATTGGTTAATATGTTAACGTAATGAAGAGATGAAGCAAAAGCTCTCAAAAAAACTCTATCAAAAATTAATCATTGCCTCCGAAATAAATACCCCAAAAACGCCTTCAAAAAAAAAAAAAACCCCAAAAATACTTGTCAACTAGCTAAAATGCCTTAAGATTGTGTCATTTGTATGCGAGCAAATAAAAAATGCGTTTCCATACTTTAGAATTTTTTTCCAAGTCATAAAATAAATTGGTAAAGGGCACAAGACAAAATTATTTTGAGTAAGTACTACTCCATCCGTCCTAAAATTAACTTCTCAGTTTGACTTTTGCAGTCAAACTTTGTAAACTTTGAACGTAGATTAAAGAAAAAAAATACATTGAATTTTCATATAAATTTATTAGCAATAGATTAATTTTGGAATATAGTTTTGAAATATATAATTATTATAAAATATATTTATATAAAAATTGAGATATTGACGGTTAAATTATCGCACTGGAGACCGTGAAAAGTCAAATGGAAAATTAATTTTAGGAGTAAAATATAATTTTTTTAAATTTTATTTTTCAAAATAAAAGTGTGGAGTGTGGTATTGTACATTGAGAATTTAGAGTAGATTTTGATATTAAATATTTCATATAACTTTTATTTTAAAAATAAAAATATGAATAGAACTTAGATATTTTCAAATATGTTTATGGGATTTAGAGCATGTCCAAGTGTAAAAATTGTGGGTCAACGAAATTTTACACTTTCACTTCTCTATATCAATTGCATTTTGCTCCTATATTGTATTTTAGGACTTGTTTTACCCTTCCCTTGGAGTGTCAAAAATTCGACTGTATATTGTCTAAATTTTTAGCATATATAGCGGGTGGAGTTGCTCTTAGTCTCGAAAAATTGAAAAGTGAGAGGGCGGGAATTTTTGAAATTTGGGAAAGATGGGGAATGACACGCGGCGTCACCCGCGAGCAGTTAGGCCCGGTCAGAAACGACCTCCAACCTACTGCCCGGGGCGGTCAGTCTCCGTCTCCGGATATAACCCCCAATTCATCAATCGGACACCGCCAGATTTTCTCTCCCAAACCAAACCAGCATACCAATGGCTCTGTCCCTCCTTCTGTTCACTCTCTGGTTGGCCGCCGGCCGCGATAATCTCGCCGGCGGCGAGAGCCTCTGTCCCCTATGTGATTCATCACTTACCGCGAGTCGTCTCTGTCCTTTTACTGATATGCCAGTCAACGTGCAGAGGAGGAACTCCTCCTCCGCCGCGGTGTGGGTGACCGGGGACGGAAGAGCTGAGGATGAGTTGCTCGTGATGAGGCATACGGAAGAGGCTTCTTCTTCTTCACCCTTCTTCGCCGGGGAGCCTGTTGAAGAAGGAGATCGAGCTCAGGATCGCTCCCTCCGCCGTGATGATGCTGAGTCCCGTGAAGAAATGACCACCGGCTGGCAGGAGGTTGAAGGTGAAGACGATGCTTCTCCCTCATCTTCGTCTTCTTCATCTTCTTCATCCTTCTTCACAGTAGTTTCTGTTTCTGGCGGCGGGGAGGCCAACGTGGAGGAGGAATTGAGGTGGATCCCAATTTATGAGGAATTGAACGGTGAAATGGTAGAACTAGCTCGATTTCCGTTGCAGCGGGAAGCCGGATATTTCTCCTTCGCCACCACCGTGAATGACGCATCTCCACATCCAATTGAGCCCGGGATGGTACATGTGCTCTGGCCATGGTGGCCGGAGTTCACCGGTGCTCTGTATTATTCGAGTGAAGGCTTTGTGATGAATCCCATAGAGAATAGATGGACAGATTTTAAGAGAATGCTGCATCACGTCGTAGTCCACCGGGAGCGTCCATCAAGAGTAATCGACCTCTGCATCGCCGCCGACGGTGACGACTTCATCACACATATGCCCATTCCAGTCAATGAAATTTTATCTCCCATTCGTCTCGCGGTCGTCATCCATTTCTATTCCTCTTCCTACCGAAGAGTGGAGCCGTATGATGACGCCCGAATGCCTACCAATCCTTGGCATATGAGAATTCTCCAGTATTTTGACGGCACTGGGCAACGGATTCAACACCCGCTGCCACTTTTGAGAGATGACAGGGAAGATGATGCTGAGTTGGACGAGAATGATGACGATGATGATGACGAGGATTACGATGACTTTCTTTCCCCTTTTGAAATGAACGAGACTCCGTACCGGCTCCGTCTAGCTTCAGCTTATGTCCCGGCGTGGGAACTCTTTTGGTTTAGGCTCCACACAATCAAGGTGGTTGCACCACAAATCCATTAATGAATGTGAGATCAAAACTTTTTTTTTTTTCTCTAGTTTTAATACGTGATTTGAATAAAAGCACGGTTTCATTTAGAGTATTTAATTAGAGTGTGTTAAAAATATTTTGGATTTTAACTAATTAGAATAGTAAAAAACAATTACTCAAGCATCATAGAAAAATAAAACAAAAATATCAGAAAAACTAGATAAAAAAAACGTAATGCTCTTGTTCATAAAAAATTCAAATTAAATTAGAAAAAAATCAATTAAAATTGTTTTATACACGCTAAGTCCATTTATTTTTTTTAAAAAAAGAAACCCCTTATTGAGGTTAATGATATGGTAGGTCTTTATTAAAATGAAATAATTAGAGGTGCGGCCCTAGAAAAGAAAGATATGGTATAAAGTAATTAAGGTCAGTTTACAAATTACTCCTTCCGTCCCCGGAGATTTTGACTGATTCATCGGTACATTCTTGGTCAGTTCTCTTGCTAATGACTCACAGTGGCATACTATTAATGTGCCCCCACCTCATCATCTTTTACTAACCAGGTCCCATATTATTTCAATTAGAGAAATTTACTATAAATAAGATTAAAACACAATGATTTTCCCGAACATGAGACCGTATGTTTTTATTTTTTAATGTAGGACCTTTGATCATTAATAATTAGTTATTATTCAATTAAATTTCTATCATTAATGTTTATGTAGTGTAATACTACCACCATCCCACAAAAAAGTTCACAATTTAAATAGTATTTAGTTAACTATTTATACGCTTTGATTACAAATTGTGAGAAAAGTATGTTAAATTGTAAAATAAGTTTAATATTATTGGATTCATCTTAGAGCATCTAGTTTTGATATTTCAATTTCTTAGCATTTCTTCATTTAGATTATATTTAATTTATGATTAACTCTTTAAGGGTGTAGTGTAATAACAAGTTGAATTGGTTGGTGTCAAATAGTCCTATTATTGCTTGTGTTGTAAAGTGACGGATTAAAAAAAACAAAATATTGAGTTGATCTAGTCAAAATGATGGATGTATAAAAACAAAAGATTGTGCACACGAGAAGCTAACATAAAATATAATTTTGGTGGAATTTTCAACTTTTTTTACTCAATAATGACTCAACATGACTAAAAGTGAAATATGATAGTTTGGTTATTCACGATATTAAAATGTAAAAATATTCTTTTTAGTAGTTTTTAAATGTGGTTCAACCAAATGCATTATTCAAGTGCATTATTGCTTAATTCAATGGTCCATACCTCATCTTAAATTTTACTCCTTCCGTCCCAGAGTAGTTGTCCACTTTCATTTTTTCACATCATTCAATCACTTCTTTAATCCATTTTATCTTGTAATTTGTATATTAAAAAATTATAGAAATTATATACTAATAATCTATATGTTAAAACAAATCAAACAAGATCACAGATGACTATATTTAGGTTTACACATTGAGAGAATTTGATGTGTCAAAATGCTTAGATGAACAATTTCAAAAGTCACGAATAGTATCATTTTTAAATAGATAGAAATTGCAAGTGTAGCATTATATATCTTTTTGTAATTTTCATCTACGGAGTATTTGATTTAGTCCTCCGGTGACCCAAATTAGTATTCATTGAGTCAAGAGGATATCTTATTCAAGTCAAACGCGTGATGGCAAAGAGTTGTGATGGTTTTGCACAAACAAACACGCCCTATCAGAATACAAATAATCTGTTGTTCAACAAGTTTAAACTTCTTTTGATTGAATTGATTTTCTTTGATATAGTATGGAAAGGTTGGTTAACTAAGACATCATGGATTTGAAGCTTAATCCCACTTAATTAAAAAATAATTAAAATTTCACCCTAAAAAAATACTACCTACACATGAGGATCGTGCTAAAAAAAGTCAAAATCAACAAATAAGGGACAAAATATTATTCATGGAGATTTAAATTTGATGGGTAAACCTATATACTACTCGTACTTCCTTTTTTTTGGTTACTAGTATTTAACCCGTGCAATGCACGGGGTCGAACGCGTGTTATTTTTAAATCTGCTAATTTTTTATTTTAAGTAAATAATTATAAAATAGAAGTAGATATAATATAGAATTTTAGATATAACATAAATAGAGTATGCTAACTAAAATTCATGCATATAAAAATTGAAAAAAATATACAAATGTATCAATTAAATCCAATTTTTTTTGGAAAATTTTAGGGTAAACCACATTTTTGGTACAATCGCAAGCGTTACCGTTATCATCTAAAACTAACACTTTCAATCCTCTCTTAGTTTTCATGCGTGAAACTGCAACATAAAGTTGACCGTGAGTGAATACCGATTCTATAATTTTTATTCAATGTAAAATATTTAAAGAATAAAAATATATATTTTGATATGATTTTTAATACTACACACATCAAAAGTAGAATAAATAATATACCCGAGTAGCATTTAACATTTAATTCTTTGTTTTTTTTGTTCAATTTTGATTTGACCTTATTTTTTTTTGCTTTTTGTTCAATTATTTCTGATAGTTCAATTTTGTTTCACACTAAACTTATTTCTTTTGATCAATTTTTGGCTTTTTATTTTTATTTTTGTTCCCTTCTTTTTCACGGTTAATTTTTTTGTTCTACATTATTATTTGGATTTTAAACAATCTAACACAATCTTTTAAAATCTTGCCAATAAAATATAATAAAATATATCTAAGTCGATGTAAAATTAAAACAATCCATGGATTTTAAAATATAATAAAATCTATCTAAGTCGATGTAAAATTAAAACAATCCATAGATTGAATACACCATCCTTAGTAATGAAATCTTACTAAATGAGTCATCAAACTCTTTGTATTGTCAAAATTAATTTCATTCTAATATGAATCCTTTTTTTTACATTAGTATACAAATAACACATAGTTGTATTTAAAATAGATGAGGCCTTGCCATCTCTAGAATTCTGCAAAATTTTCATAAACTTTTAGTTTCTTTTGGTTTGAAATGAAATTTCCAGTGGAAATTTGGTTTAGTCGTCCCAAATAATTCAAAAGTTATTTGGAATGTGTCAAGTTTATTAGGAGTAAGCATGTTATGATATGACATCGTATTTAACTCGTATTGGTATCGTACTAATATTTGAGTTTGGTATAAGCTTTTGCGTCTTCTTGATCCCAAAATATCAATTTCGTATGATCCGGAATCAATTTCGATAGATTAGCGGGAAAAATACATACGTACCAAATTTACATTTTTAAAATATAACAAAATCCTTTAATTTACATTATTAACATATCCTCCTACTATTAAAGAGTGTATTCCTAGTCAGACTAATTTAATTAAAAGATACTCAGTGTCTAAAATCAATGAAAAAACACTAATAGATACTCTATATAATAATAATGTTGAATATTACATTTAATCAAAATACACTAAAAAAATCTAAGTGAATTGTGGTAGTTTAGTTATCACTTTTGTGCAATTATTCCCTAATATTTTACATTATATAAGTGAATTAAATATTTCATGGTAAAGTCAAACAAACAAACTAAAAGTTATGATGAATAAAATATTTCGTGATATTAGATTAGTCATGTAGTTAGAGTAAAAAGTACATACATCGATTTTCTATATCATGCGGTAAGTTAAGAATAACAGAGTTGTACCATAATCATGATAATTGATGAGATGCCTGCCAAAAAAATTAAATACATACCAAGGGAAGCTATACCAAGGAGAGTAAATACAAATTTTGGAGCAGAGACTATACTTGAACCTTGGCTGAGATTCAATATATGACATGAGCAACGCATGCAATAATACATGGCACCATCGGGTTCAATAGCTCTTCTGCACTTGCACGATAAATACCACTAATCAGTGTTATTGTTCACTTCACTACAACAATAGTTCGATAGTTCCGTACACTACATAAGATCCATCTTTTTTAATAATAATTATATATTAGTTCACATATATGTAATCTCTACATAACATACTGCATATGACAAACTATGTAATGCAAATAGTTCCGTACACTACATAAGATCCATCTTTTTTAATAATAATCATATATTAGTTCACATATATGTAATCTCTACATAACATACTGCATATGACAAATGCAAAAAGCATAAAATGAAATATATCTAAAAACATTGCGTATAGAAAGTATATAAAAATTATAGTTACATTGTAATACATATTTTATGTAAAGAATTGTTACCAAAGTTGATTTTCTTTTTTTAATATGCCAATTAACACACTATAAAAAATAATTGAGCATAAAAATGAAGAAAGGTGTCACAATCATGTGGTAAAAACTTATGATTATGTAAATGAATAAAACAAGCTAACTGACATTACCTAGTATAAGCTAAATAAAAGATTTCTTCTCCAAAAATTATGAATGAGTAAAAAAATATTGAACCATCTTAAAGAGCTTTTTTAAAACACAAATCTTGATTTTCGTGGATACACTATCCAACAAACAAAATACAGCATTCTAGTGACAATTTAGAACCAAATTGTTATCCAAATATTATTCA